GATTACCTTTGTTCCATTTCTAGGAATATCTCATCTTTATTTCCACTATTTCCACAGTTTCTGAGTCCGTTATATTCAACCCATGGATTGAAGTCACAACTATTTTGCAACAAAAATTCACGATCGATTGATTTGTTTTTTTTTTTTACGGATTAACAGCCTGTTGTTGATTATTTAAAGCAAGAAAATATTTTTTATATTGTAAGATTTTTTTTGAGATAATATTGATTTGATGATACAATTCGTACTAATTATCCTTAGCTGAGAAAAAAGAAGTGAATTCAGACTTTTCCCAAGTCCAAATTCACGAACTAACTTTATAATTCACTACGCTATCAACGTGAAAACTGGTAAGTCGTTTCCTTATAAGGAAACATTTGGCATTTATTGATCGAGTAGCCAGTGCTATTTTCGTTTGAAATTTATATAATCGTTCTGCTAAAACCATTTTTCAGGGAAATAGGTTTCTCAAACTCACTATTCTCTTTTCACTCTTTCCAGTATTGATTGGGATTTCCTTCCTAACCTTTTGGTTGAAGTCGTGTGGAATATCAACATCTTGTTTATGTCATTATTCTCTCTTCTAGAAACATGTGATATCCATTTTAGTTGTTCAATCGAGAAATAACATAGCTAGTAATTGTTCTTTATGTGTAGACACCTTAATGAGTTCTCTTCACTGGATGCCTCATACGAATTTCCGACACGATATAAATCAACTAGTATCGATTTGTCGTAAAATAAATCGTGGTCCTTGGTACGAAAAGAAGTTCTTAAAAACATTTCTTGTGGTGTCCTTTTTTTTTAAATTAAGGGTTAGCCCTCAATAAATATATTAATGAGAAAGAATAAATGATAAACAGATGTCTTGCCTTGTTCTTTTCTTTCTTATAAATTACTCCGCAAAAGAAGTTCTTAAAAACATTTCTTGTCGTGTCCTTCTTTTATGCGCCACGGTCCTTTCAGAACTTGGGTGATCATCGCTCTCCCCAACTTCCTGTTTTTTATTTATACTATTTACATGGGGACTATTGTCCTAATTTTTGCTCTTTTTACCACATTTCAGCGGATGTATACTCAGGCCTTCATCAGGTGTATGTAACCTACGTTGTATTCCGAACTAAACCGTTTATCTACGGCAGTAGACTGTTCTCGTTCCACTGCCCATATATATATATATATATATATATATATATATATATATATTTGGAAATGTTATCTGATGATTCGGCGTCCTTTAAATGGGCTCTGGTGAAATAAATTATTATAATGGTATCTTAAAGTGGTCTGTGTTTCTTTTAAATATATATATATATATATATATATATATATATATATATATATTTTTTATAAAAAAAATTTATAACATAAGTATGTTATAAAATCACTACAAAAGTAGCCATTTTGAAACAAAATGGCTATTTTTGTAGTGATTTTATAACATACTTATGTTATAAATTTTTTATAAAATAATTATATCTGCTCTACTTTGTATTGAGCACTCTTTTAAGAATAGTAATTGTTGGTTATTGGAATTCATTCCGTGTATACCAATTATATACTTTTGATATATATATATATATATATATATATATATATATATATATATATATATATATATATATATATATATTAGTGATAAATATACATACATATGCAAAATATATAAATACCCATACATGTATATTTTTTGAATAAAAATTCCAAGAGGATAGAATCCAGGTAGAACTCAATGTCCAGGACAGAGTTAGGATATAGTAAAAAGGCTTAAACACTAATATTCCATGGTCATAATTCATTCCATTGGAATCGTAAATACGATCCAATTCATCAGACCTACAAATTCAAAAAGAAAACAGAAAAACAACTCCGGAAATCAAAACAGAATTTAGAGAGAGTGTAAGTATGAGGAGGAGGGAGATCAAACCTTAACAGAGAGAATTTTAGGAGAGGTGGGTGGAAGGGGTTTAAGTAAGAGAAAAATGAATGTTGTCGGATGTCTAATGCATAAAGATACATTTCGTGGTGACATACACACACCATAGACAATCTAATGTTAGAATAAGAGGGAGGGAAAGACGAGGTGGGGGAGAGAGATCGGACGAAGGAAAGTAAAATTGCGTTTACTTAAAAGATGTGTATGTATGTATGTATATGTATGTGAAAGTTGTGTGTATATGGATATAGATGAATATGTGTATGTGTGGATATGTGAATATGTGAATATATTTTTATATTTTTATATGTGTGTACATGGGTATATATATATATGTGTGTATGTGGGTAGACGCCTATGTGTATGTATATACGTGTATATGTTATTGTGTATGTGTGTATTCGCATGCGTTTTTGAACATAGAAATATAGGTCCTTGCTGGATTAGATAATCGTTATATTTATTTTTTATATGTTTATATTTGATTTGTAACCTGTAGTCGATATTAAATTTGTCAAATTTTCTTAATTACAAAGCGGCCCTTTCCGGATTTCTTCTTTCTGTTTTCTTTTGAAATTGTAGGTCTGATGAATTGGATCGTAATTACGATTCCAATGGAATAAATTATGACCATGGAATATTAGTGTTTAAGCCTTTTATTATATATATATATATATATATATATATATATATATATATATATATATATATATATATATGCTCTAGTTCTTATTTTTTATTAATGTTCAGTTATTACTCGTCATTTTTCCATTGATTCCAAGTACACACTGCCCGTCCTAGGGATGGAACTCAAAATTACCAGATCAGCAATTTCATGAACCAACGTTTTAGCCCACTGGGCTAATATCATGTATTATGTTGGTTATGTTTTTGCCCCTGTTCTGCCAAATGACAGATGATCAGATACACCCTTGTGGAAACTAATTGAAACAACTGCTTTAGTTTCCTTTCTTTCGCCATACGGTCAGTTTTAGACCCACCGGAATGACACGGTATAATCGATTTCTATTTTTTCTCAGATTAGGACATTTGCAGTGCTGTACAGCAATGTGAATCTTTGTTCGGGTGTATGATAAAATTTTTTTGGCCTTGTAAAATATCCGTGATTGTATCAGATTTTTATCACACGCAGAGACTATTTTCTCGACTGTCGATTAGTTGTCCTATGGTGGACACGATATAAACCAATTAGTGTCGATTCGTGGTAAAATAGAGCGAAATGTTTTCCTCGGTACGGAAAGGAAGATTTTCGTCTCGAGTTCAATTTCTTGTCTATGCCGCTGCGTTCATTTTTGATCAAACAACTTAATAAAATAATAGATATCATTTTCCCCACCTAGGGCATAATAGCAAGTTAAATTCGGCTCCTTAGCTTTGGTAGGCAACCAGTTCAGAAGAAAACCGACGGGTCTAGCTGAAACCTTCCATTAAACCCTACTTACTAAGGAGACCGCAGCAAAATCAACTAGTGCCGTGGCCATATAATCCACTGAAACTATGAATGGTCAACATACAGCGTAATCTTAATGACTACTGAATGCGAAGAATGGCTGAGCGAGAACGAAGAATATATTGATTGAAACGTCATTATATAAAGCAACGAACATGATTCGTTTCACTGTAAGAATTTAAAATATCTTCTATTTTTCTTTTGGCTTCTAACTTTAATGAGGTAAATGGTGATTTCTTTTTTAGATGTGTCACAAGGCGAAATACACGAAGTACACCTTTAATGAGGTAAATGACGGTATATTAAATCAAAAGTGATGATCAAAAGTACTTCATAATCTACCGACTAGTTTACAGCCGGACGAACATATGACTGTAGATAAATCTAAATTAAATACAAGGAGGAGCGGAGTTATGGCGAAGCAGTTTTCAAGCTGCCTCTGAGTAGATCATCAAAATGAAAACAGATGGCCTCAACGGGTAATATTAATGATTACTATGGTTTCAAGGTGACCCTGTGTCTGGGAATAACTTTATTTCATTTGCTAAAGCCCCGGAAGATTTGTTTTAAGATATACACCTACTAAAAAAAAAGCCTGAATTACATTTAGAATCTTGTTCTTTGAAACGATATTTACTAACCCTAATCGGACGTTTGTCCATTCACTGATCAAATGATTAGTTTTTTTTTATCAATCCTTTGCAGGTTATTTAAAGCCAGAAAATATTTTTAAAATGAAAGAATGTTCTAGTGGAGATAATAATGATACATGATCGTTAACAAGCTCTATGGACTCATGCCTGATATTTTTACTAACGCGAACGCATGATGCTCTTTGTAGGTGTTATGGGGTCCACACCTTTTTCATACAAGTGGACTCGACCAGTATGTACTTGGACTGCTGCCGTTAAATACCCACAGTCAGTCAGACATTGAGATTGTGATTGGAGGTAGATTAATAGTGTGAGGTAACCGTTTGTAGAAGTCACAGTTAGAAGCACGTAGACTCTAAGGAAGTCCTACTTCGGGACTGTATATATATATTATTATTGCTACTAACCGCGTTTCTGGATCTACTAACCGTATTAACAATTGTATTATTGTGTAAATACATTTATTTGTTATATTTCATTCCTGCGTTTGTCATTCATTGGAGACCGAATTTCATCTCGGAATCCACAACAGTAGGGCACTGCTGGGAAGCAAAACAAAAACTTGCGAATGTTCTATTACTCTGGCCACCTAGCCATGGCACAAGATGGGTTGATCTTCCAACTACCACCTACATTGACCAACTATGTAATAACATATGATGCCATCCTAATGACTTTACGACCTTAACGCAGAACCTTAATAGTGGGCGTGATAGACTCATGAATATCCGAGATTGGCCAACCGAATAAAATTAAAAAAAAATATAAGTGATACAAGCCTTAATAATTAATCCATAGCTTGGAGAAAAAGAGGTGGAGTCATCACTTTCCCAAGGTTAGTTACGCTTAAGTCAATAGAACGAACCGAACTGGAATTGGAACTCGGCTCTCTGTTTAACAATTCCGAGCCATTATCCATTACCCTATCCGCAAATCCAAGCATACAGCACCTGGTATTCCCAAGCGGTCACCCATCTAGGTACTGACCAGGTTTGATGTTGTTGAACTTCGGGGATTGTACGGGAACATTGATTTCAGCCTGATGTTACCGGAAGTCAAGAATCTTTTTCTTTGAAACAAGATTTATCAACTCTAGTTGGACTTCTGTCCAAATTTCTTTATATACGTCAGCGTGGATATACGTGAACAAGGATACAAAGGGCCATAAGGATAATGACGTGGCTTGTCACCAGATTTATCTCACCTCTACAGCGAGTCTATCCTAAGTGGGGAGGGGGAAGAGATGCTACCAGGTTTTAATATTGGTGGTTGCAATCTTAGTATAAGATATATAGATGACATTAACCCGATGGTAGGTACAAAACCAAAACTGCAGGATCTCTTAGAGGAAGAGAGTAAAAGAAAGAAAGAAGAAAAGACTAACCTTCAACTGTAAGAAAACATAATCTAAGATTGTCAGCAACTGAAAAACAAGAGCTGCGCATTGGAATACAGAAAGATGCCTTCCAAAAATAAGTAAAGTATTAAGAAACAGGAAAATTTCAATAGAAAATAAAAAGAGTGCTTAGACGTTATGTAATATTAATTCCCTTGTCTGGCAGTGAATGTTGGACAATCTCCTGCCATAGGAAGAGAAAGCTGAAGGCAAAAGAAATGTGGTTCCACAGAAGGATGCTGAGAAAATCATGGACGCAGGGCGTAATTGCCGAAAATCTATGAAGGAAAATGGAAACCAAAAGGAAACTTAAAATTAAAAAGTGACAGCAGAAATTTCTTCGACACATGAGGAAGAAGGACCTTAAGAATTTGACACCCTTAGAACATATCGAATACAAATGGGACTGGCGAAGACAACGAGCTATTGACCTCACGGGTTTGTGTGAGCGGATGGTGGAACGGGGGCGGTATGCTTGGCAATACGATAAAACGTTGGTCAGGGGTACAAAGAAGCCATGGAGTACTATGGTCGCCCATGTTCTGGAAAGTGACACGGTACATAGAAGAAGTGTTGATACCTTGTACTAGATACGTCCCTCACTTTTTATTTTCTAAAGAATACTAGTTCAATCTTCGTTTCTTAGTAGATGGCCAGATTTTCAAATTTCAACTCTAAATTGTTTTTCTTAGAAAATATATCGAGTTTTCATGGGGAAGGATTCATAAAATAGACGGCATTCTTAGGCCTCACGTCGCAAATCGCCATTTCAATTTCTGTGTATGTTTAGTGTTTGCATTTTTAATTCAATGAAAGACCTAAAAATATTTCTTTTTATTCAGGACGTGGGCGATCATGGTTCTCCTCAATTTCCTGTCTTCTGTAGCTCTTAGTAAATTTTGTCTTTTTGCTATCTCTCCTGAAACTTGTTCTGTAAACTATTTATACAAACTCGTAAGGTAAATTATGGGCTTTTGTTCTGTGAGTGTCATATTTTTCAAGCCCACTTTCCACATTATGTACCCTAGACATTGCAACGGTCTCTTTCTGATTCTAAGTATAAGTTTGCTTTTTGCTTTCATTTTCCCTAAAACTTCCCTGTTGCTTACACTTTCAGTCCATGAGATTCTCAGCGTCCTTCTGTAGAAAACATTTCTGTTGCTTCAACTCTCTTACAGAAGTAATGAAACAGTTTTATGTAACAAAAACTGTTGATAAGTCTGTCTTTTCTTTCTTTCTTTCTTTTCCTACCTCAGTTTTTTTATTTTATTGCTCAGACTGGGAGGACAAAGAAATATCCCAATGTATTATTTCATACTCAGTCTGATTGTGTGTTTATTTGTGCTCCAGTGCATAGATTAAGTGGTACGAACATGTGCATGTCACTCAGACACAAAAATGTATGCATATATATATATATATATATTATATAACTTTTTTTAATGCCTCTTTTTTCTTAGACAACCATGCGAGGAATTACATTTTATTTTCGTCTAAGCAAATATGGCATCATTAGGCTAGAACTTTAACACTCATACCACCTGAAAAAATTTAGACACGAAAATAAAAAGTATCTGTTTATATTTGTCCATATTTCTGAGATGAGGTATTATGTACACTATTTACATTATTCGGACTATTGTCCTCATCTTTGTCGCCATATTTATTACAACGTTTTGGCCGTTGTACGCTCCGGCCTTCGTCAGGTGGTTGGAATATCGAACTGAACACTTTCTTTCGCTCGCTGGTGTATACTGTTCTAGTTCCACGTGCCATGTCCAATGGATATCACTTATCAGTTATCTCCTGTTAATTCCCCTCTCCAAGTTCTCCACTGCCTTTACCAGGTATCCAAGTCACACTCTTTGGGCCCTGTCACTGCATCTAACTCATGCCTTTATCCACTGTGCCATGTGTCCGTGAGTGACATGTGTTCGTTCGCAAATATCAGACGCACCAGGTATATAAACCAATTTGAAATCTCCTTAGTGTGCAATAAGAATTAATTTCTATTCCAGATATATATATATATATATATATATATATATATATATATATATCAGGGATATATATAAATATATATCAGGAATACATATATATATATATATATATATATATATATATATATATCAGGGATATATATAAATATATATCAGGTATATATATATATATATATATATATATATATATCAGTGATATATATAAATATATATCAGGAATATATATCTATATATATATATATATATATATATATATATATATATATATATATAGAGAGAGAGAGAGAGAGAGAGAGAGAAAAAGGAGGACATTTTCAAGTCATTTATCATTTGTAGAATTTATATAATTAACTCCATTTTAATAAGTATGGAAAGCTACTCTTAATGTACGATTCAATGTACTTCAAGTTATCTCCCTTGTGCAGCACGCAAATAGATATCAGTGGATTATTATTCAGGAAACTATTTGCAAGTAAATAATTACTTAATTCGATCAGTGTTACCCAAACCGGAGTACGAGTACCCTGAGGGTACGCAGGAGAAAATCAGAAAGCACGCAATAAAGTTTATTACTCACGCACCACGTTGCCTCTTTTGATGCTGAAAAGTTTGCGAACCTTCTGCCTCTTTTTCCCGATAGAAAGTGACATTTGTTATTTATATTTCATTTTTGATTATCAAATGTTCGGAATATCGAATTATACCCAGACTATTTTCAGACAATTTTCAAGATGATTATACAAGTTTTGAATGATTCCTTGTCCAAAGATCATTTTAAATTCTCAGCCCCTTCTTTGTGCAATAATGTTCACCCTGTACGACAGCCAGTCGTGGTAGAGGATTATCGAATAATAATTACGAGACACAATTTATGAGGACATGTGGGGTATATCACGCTTAATGCCAAGGGAAAAAGGTTGGTTCGCTGCACATTACGTGTCATGGTGGGTCTTATCTATGGAGGTTAGAATTGGTAGATCTAAAGAAAGTAGTTCGTCTGAAAACTTGCCAAGGAAATAGCGATATGATAGCGAGAGGGGCGAGTAGTTGGCAACGTTTCGTCTGTCTGAAAATGGTTGCAAGAACGTTTCGTCTGTGGGAAAAGGTTTGAAAAACAAATTCAACAAACACTAGGCGCTTTTGCTATCCATCGACTGGAAAGTAAAAACAGGTCGGCCTCTGGGCATATATGGAAGTAGTGCTACATTTTCGGCCTCTTGTAAGAGTAGCGAAAATCAGGTACTTACCAAACGGTACGGGGAACCGAGCATCTTCGCGATGAATCGTGTATCCGAATTCCACTTTGGGTGAGCCCAAATGGCAAAAGGCGCGCAATGTTCCCTCATGACTCCCTGAGAAAACATCCGTTCATAGCGATTGACGGAAACCTCGGGTCCGCTCGGGGATGAAGGAACGTCACTAGTTTAGTTTTAGTGGCATTAAAAGTAACTATACTTGAGGTTTCGGATGTGTTCAAGTCCCAACAGGCGCTCAAGTGTTCTCTCATGGAAGAAATCAAGGATTCGGTCGGAGATGAAGGAACGTCACTAGTTTGGTTTTGGTGGCATTTAAATGTAACTCTATTTGAGGTCTTCGATGTGCTCAACTGCCAATAGGCGCTCTAGTGTTCTCTCATGGAGAAAATCAAGGATCGGCTCAGACATGATTGAACGTCACTAGTTTGGTTTTGGTGGCATTCAATGTAACCCTACTTGAGGTCTTGGATGTGTTCATGTCCCAACAGGCGCTGAATTTTTCTCGCATGGAGGAAATCAAGAACCCGCTTGCAGATGAAGGAACGTCACAAGTGTTGTTTTGGTGGCATTAAATGTAACTCTACTTAACGTCTTAGATGTGCTCAAGTCCCAACAGGCGCTCAAGTGTTCTCTGATGGAAGAAATCAAATATCGGCTCAGACATGATTGAACTTCACTAGTTTGGTTTTGCTGGCAATAAATGTAACTCTACTTGAGGTCATGGGTGTGCTCAAGTCCCAACAGGCGCTCAAGTGTCCTCTCATGGAGGAAATGAAGAATTCGCTCGGAGATAAAGAAACGTCACTAGTTTTGTTTTGGTGGCATTAAATGTAACTCTACTCGAGGTCTGGGATGCGCCCAAGTCCCAACAGGCGCTAAAATGTTATCTCATGGAGGATATCAAGGATTCATTCGGAGATGAAGAATCGTCACAAGTTTTTTTTTGGTGGCATTAAATGTAACTCTACTTAACGTCGTGGATGTGCTCAAGTCCGAACAGGCGCTCAAGTGTTCTCTCATGGAGGAAATCAAGGATCCGCTTGCAGATGAAGGAACGTCACTAGCTTGGTTTTGCTGGCATTAAATGTAACTCTACTAGAGGTCTTTCATGTACTCAAGTCCCAACAGGTGCTCAAGTGTTCTCTCATGGAGGAAATCAAGGATCTGCTTAGACATGTTGGAACGTCACTAGTTTGATTTTGGTGGCATTAAATGTAACTCTACTTGAGGTGTCGGTTATGCTCAAGTCCCAAGAGGCGCTCTAGTGTTCTCTCATGGAGGAAATCAGGGATTCGCTCGTAGATGAAGGAACGTCACTAGTTTGGTTTTGGTAGCATTAAATGCAACCCTACTTGAGGTTTTGAATGTGCTCAAGTCCCAAAAAGCGCTCAAGTGTTCTT